TAGTCAGCTTACTGCGTCCGTATTGAAGGATTTCATACGCACAGTAGAGCTGGGCAAACAAATCGGCCCAAGCGGGATTACATTTACAGCGCACGGTGAGCTTCATAGCCCAAATGGTAGAGCGTCGGCTGCGCAGAAGCCTTCCCTGCTGTGTGGGTTCGACTCCCACCGGGAAATTACATCTGGATTATCCGATTATGAGGCCACCTTGTGCACCATCTACTGACGTCTCTCTTTTCCGTCGCTCACCTAGCTCTGGCGGCGAGAGTTTCAAGACGATCAGAAGTTGTCTCGTTCGTGGTGGTGTTAATGGTTAAGGAGCTTGTGGCGGTTGTAGTTACGGTAGTGGTAAATTAACGCTTTATTAACCTCAGCCCCTCCTCCCTCGCCAACCTTGCTCAGAAGGCAAGACCAAATGAAAGTGACCACAATGGCTGACAAATAAGAACAGCCCGTCCAAGTTTTGCCTCACACAACCTGCTACCCGAAGGAATACTAATTTTGCACGAAGAGAAACATGGCTCCCAAATCCGTGAGAATACCATAGAAACCGCATCAAGGACTAACCATCAGAAGTTCGAGACAAGCCCCAATATACTCATGCAGATTATTAACCATGGGAACGTAGGTTGCGCGTCATTTAACAAATCAATCAACCGTTTCGAAGTTAATGTAGTGATTTGTGCGCTGGTGTGTCATGATAATCGGTTAGCGAATGTACATCTCACACGCTTTTTCCTCTGTCATGCACCCAATTAACTCCTTGAGCTTACCAGTCATCCAGTGCTAGGAGCGGGTGCCTTATATGAACAATTCAGAAAACATTGGAGGCAATTCTGTGAACTTCGTTCCAACATCTAGTGCAACAACACTGAGGTGGAATCCATGCAAACCCAGGATCATATGCTAACTGGGAAGTATTTTCTGATACAAAAACCCGCCAGTAGGCATCGCCTAAGTTTTGAAAGCTTGAGAAACTCAAATCCTATGTTTTAGAGGAATGCGTACAACTGTTCAGTCAACATTG